GCGGGTGTCCCCAGGCTGCTGTGGTAGGAGGCTCCTCGGGGTGAGTAGCAGGTGGCCTCTCCACGGTGGATGTTGAGCGTGGCACACCACTGGGGCACTGCGGGAGAAGAGGGAGGTGAGGGGGCACCTGGCCCTGCCATGCCTTGGTTTTCCTTTGAGGACCTAAGGGACAGGCTCAGGTGCCATTACCTCGGCGGTAGTCCAGGGCAGGCTCAGGAGGGGCTTCTTCCACGTACACTTCATTGGTGTGACTCTCGGCCGTGTAGTAGCCAGACCCTGGGTAGAAGGGGAGAGACAAGGGGGCTGTGTGATGGTTTGTGGCCACAGCAGCACCCAGGTGACAATGTCTCCTCGGGCAGCTACATCCTCTGGCTCCAAAACACCCCACAACTTCCCACAAACAATCCTATCCCTGTTCTGCCATCCTTGGGGCTGCCATCAAGGGTTAAGCTGGGCAGATGGGGAGCCCCGTCCCGACACGGTGTGTGCTGCCACCAGCCCGTAGACTAAACAGCGGCAAGAGCAGCCGCAGTTATGGCAGGAAGCGGGAGCTGGCACAGAGTGGGCTGGCACCAGCTGCTGGTTTCGTGCTGCTGCGAAGTCCTCCTGCCACCCGTGCCCGTGGCAGTGTCCCTGCCACTGACGAAGCAAGCTCCCCTCTCTTGCCTATCGTGGCAGAGCTGCCAGCTGGCTGGGGGGTCAGCAGGGATGCAGCCCCTCGCTTGAGCAGCAAGGAAAGACAAAGCTGCTGGAGGAATGGTGCTGGGAGGGCTTGGCCGGAGCTGCTGGCCCCACACCATCCATGCTGTGCAGAGGGGCCCCTGGTCTCATGGATGGGGGAGGACAGCCTTGTGCCATCCTTGCGGGCCACCCTCTGGCCTGCATCATGTCCCTGGGGGCAAGAGACAAGCAGACAGGAAGGGAAAGGGGTGCTGCTGGCGCCTATCCCTGCAGCCCCTTGGCCCCTCGGCCGGCCGCGGCATTCCCCAGCACTGAGCTCACATTTCCGCTGCATTTCCGCCAGCCCCCGCCAGCCCACCCCACTGTGCTCCCGGCTCTGGCATGGCGGGGGGGGGCAGCCCGGGCGGGGAG